CTCTTTTTCTCTTTAGGGACCAGTGGAAGTAAAACTTTTTTTAAATTTATTTGTTCTATTATTATTTCCTGAAAAGTTCTATTTTTGTAGAATATTACCAGTGAGAGTCTGAAACTGCTATGCAGTGTCATTAACTGATGGACATCATCCGTCGTGATGCACATTATTATTTTCTTTTTTATTTAACCTTTATTTATACAGGTTGGTAGTCTCATTGAGTCACGAGGACTCATTTTCAAGAGAAACCTGTTTTAGGCAGACAACATATAGAGTACAGACAATATATACAACAATTAGAGTATTCTTCCTCAGTATGACACTGTATGTGAGGGGATCCTCAGGCATCTTATTCAAATGTAATCTGTCAAAACTGGAATAAATAAAAGAAAAAAAAACATATTTTCTTAAATTATCTTAGCAAATTGTTGTTTGTGGAGCAGTCATTAAATTTAACAAAGGAAACAAGGTTTTGGGGTGTAATTAGTTCAAGATATTTACCAGTGCAGTACAGGAAAATTAATACTGTGATAAAGTCCAGAAGGAAATAAAACATGGGTGAATCAAAAAAACTGGACTTATGTAACAAAAACAAACTGTAATAACTTTAAAGATCAACTGAAAGATCAAAACCTTAATTGGAATATGAAGTTTGTTTGTTTGCTACTTTCCATCACTCTTCAGGAATATTTATAATATACAAACAGTTTAGCAGCCTTTCCCAAATGTTGCTAAAATAAAATAGTGGAATCCACATTTACAACAAAAACATGTGTAGTATATACTGTACAGTCGGCATCGTAGGCATACGCATTTAAAGATGAAGAAGAATAAGAGTCTGATTGCAGCCTGTTGTTTTTAGAGCAGGAGGACAGATACAGAAATGATTGGCAGATTTCTGACCTTTTCTCCTGCAGCAGCTTGACCTGGAGACAGTCCTGGGTCTCCTTTTGAACCCTGGGGTAAAAAGCAGAGCCACAAAAGTGATGAGATAAAAACAGCTGTAGGAACAAGTCAAACAAAAGGAACCTCTACAGCTTTAAAGTTTCAAATCATGCTGCTAAACTTTTATGTTCAGACTACCGGTACTTTAAAACATCACCCTTAAGAGCTGTTCACATTTCCTCCTCACAGTTGTTAGGCCTCAAGCCTTTAAATACATTTCCCACTAAAGGCTGTCTGTCTGTCCACATAAAACAAGTAAAACCTCATCTGGTTTAGAGCATCGTGTTACTATAGTTTTGACTAACAACCAGTGAAGCGTACTTCTTGACTTGACGACTTGAGCAGAAAAGCATAAACCATAACATAAAATCAAAGTTTAGTCCTGTTTATGGAAAGAAAAGTCAGTAGTGCATATACTGAGTGAAAGACTATCTTTTTAAGTGTAGAAATTATGTTGATAATATCTGACACTGCCTAAAACATGTCAGCCAGCAGCGTTCATCCGAATGACTCCTGCAAACCAAACCTATTTTAATGTGAATATCTGCCTTAACTGTGATCTGTGATCTCAGTGGGATTTGCCTGGTTAAATAAAAGCTAATAAAATGAAACGAACTGAGTTGATGAGGTTTCTTGCTTCCGTTCAGCATCTTGATTCTGCTTTTCCACTTTTAAAGAAAAACCTAAAAAGTTATGTTTGTTACTTGTGAGAGAGGATGGATTGGAACATCCACTTATCTGAGCCTGCAGCATGACTTGCTTCATGCACCACTGATTGCCTGGTCTACACACAGCCACTCTGTGGTAGCCCCATCCAGATGTTTGTGTAACCACTAACATCTGGTTGCGGCTCCCCACATCCTCACTTAGTTATATTAACGTGTCTGGACTCAGCAAAGATGCTTCCTTACTCTTTTTTTTTTTTTTTTTTTTTTCAGTTTAATCAGCATTGGGTCATGCTCTGCACTTTGACAAAAGAACAGATAAGAATAATCCAGGATAAGAATAATCCACTAAACCGTGTTTCTGTCCTTCCTGCCATGCTGTGACGGTATGGCGACTGATTATCCCAGTTCTTAACCACTTCTGGCTACATTTGAGTTGATTCAACTTGCACATGCTCTGTTCTCTTTAGAATCAGAATCAGAATGCCTTTATTGTCATTATACGCAGTACAATGAAATTAAGAGCCACTCCTTTTTCCAGTGCAAAAACACGCCTTAAGAAAACACACACTAAACACTAAACACACACTAAACACTAAACACACACTAAAAATATAAAAAAAGTAACGCAATATAGATATAATAATGAAAGTAAAAAATACAAGTATTTCACAATTGTATTGCACATCATGGATATTAGTGAGGTAGTTAAGGTGACTGAGAGTATGAAATGTCAGTAGTATTGCACAATAGAAGTCCAGGTGTTTGGGAGGTTAGATTATTAAATCAGTGCATGTGTGAGTTCAGTGTGGTGATGGCTTTCGGGAAAAAACTGTTCTTGAATCTGTTTGTTCGTGTTCTGATGCACCTGTAGCGCTTCCCTGAAGGTAACAAGTCAAACAGTTTAGGGACCAGCATGAGTTGCTCATGTCTGTCATCATAACTGAAGCCATTTGTCCTTTAACAAAACACAAATCTACATTTTTGTAAAAGTGAATGACATAAAACTAATCTCAGACGTTTTCTTGTCACTATAAAAATAGTCTAAAATAAATAATGGGAAATTATATATTTTCAATTATGCTTATTTTGTTAGGTTTGTAAGGATGCTTCTTTGGATAGGACTAACAAACTGTCAGTGTGTTTGTCAATTTGAAAACTTCACTTGATAAAACTGCTCCGCTGAAAAAGAAAGAAATCAATCAAAGGAGACTGGCTCCTTGGTTCAGTTCTGAGTTATGTAATTTAAAACAGGCATCTAGAAAACTGGAAAGAAAATGTCATTCCACTAATGTTGAAGAGTTGTTTTGTTTTTGTTTGTTTTTTTAATCTTGGAGAGATAGTCTGCTAACATATAAAAAAGCTCTCCATAAAGCTAGAACTGCATATTACTAATTTTTAATAGATGTGAATAAAAATAACCCCAGGTTCATTTTAGTACCATAGCTAGTCTAATGAAAAATCATTGCACGTTATAAAAGCTTGTATAAAAAATAAAAATATATAATTTGCATCCGCTGAGCTGCAGTTCTCTGCTTTATTGGTGAATTTCTGTGAAAACAGTTTTGTCTGTACATGTGACCAACTATTTATTATTGAGAAATTCAAAAACACAGGCAGCAGATTTATTATTTTTTTTATCCCTAGTCACCCATTAGTTTTGTTTGTTTTTCTTAAAAAGGTATATTTTGATGTTCAGTTTAAGAAATTTGCTTTAACAAATTAAGTTGCTGAAGTTACCCGCATCAAAATTACATTTTTTTCAATTTACACACATCCACCAATATCACCATCACCACCACTACAACCACCACCATCATCATCATCACCACCACCACAACCACCACCACCATCACCATCATCATTGTCATACACTAGTGTGTACGATGTTCAGAAGTGTAGCTATGAAAGCCTGGAAACAAAGACTCTCACAAAGTCTTTATACAACTCCTCATTTTGAATCTGAAAATGAACTGTAATCAAAACCAAAAGTCACATTAATAAAGCATAAATAATCTGTCTTTTACTGCCAAACTCATGTTTCAGTTTTATTCCATGTTAGCAGAAACCACTGATCACTTTATTTAAAGTCTGCTGTTGAGGTCAACCATACAGCGACATTTGGAAAAAAAATTAAAAAAATAAAACTCTTGGATTTGTCAGCTTCTGTCTGAAAAAAATCATTTAAATGTTTTTCCTTTTTGTTGTAGCTTTGAGTTAAAGTACAAAAAATAAACTCCTGATAAAGAGTTTCTTCCTATTTATGCTGTAATTCAGACTGGCTGGCCTTTCATGTTTGAATGTCGGTGCGATGAGAGGTATGTTCACGTTAGCACACGTTTAAGTGAAGCACAATTTCCATGATGATGGAAACACTGCCTGCAGTTGTGTGCGAGTCCATGTTCAAAACTTTTTATTTTTTTCCACACAGACATTTCTGATGCACTCGGAGACATTTCCAGGTCTTTTAGAAAAAGAAAATCACCCACCTTTGGCCCAGGTGGTCCAGGTTGTCCTGGTTTTCCATGTGGACCAGTGGGGCCCTGGAACAGACGCAGACATTAAAAGAAGAGGCAAAATGCACAATTTATGTTTATTGGTGAAGTATTTATTTTTATTACCATTTTAAGAGATGCAATGCACATTTAATAAAAGGTTGTTAATCCACAACTTTACGAGAATTACAACATGTTTCATGTCACCAGTTCTAAACGAAAAGCTTCTAGGAAATTGTTATGTAATCAAAATATAACCATGCATGTGCACAATGCATAAGTAGGTGTGCACTGTTGCTTGCACTTCCTACCACCAAACATGCCATTTATTGGGTACATGTCTGCATATCTGCTCTGTTACATACCCCTTACTTTATATTGTACTTCCACAAAAGCAGACTTCCTTATAAAATTTATTGTGCAATTTTTCTTTTAGGCTTTCTAGAGCTCTTTCAGTGTTTTTTTATTTTTTTATTTATTTTTTGGACTTTGGTGGGGTTTTATTGTCCACTCAGTTTCAGTCTAATACCAGCTGGTACTGGATGCACAGCTGCACCAGATGATACATCTGACAGATGCACAGATGGTGCATCTGTCAAGTCTTTGTCAGGGTTTTTTTTTTCCCGAATGTATAAAACATCTGATTTTCAGGTTCTGTTCATGAGTTGTAAATAATGTTTTAGGCTGGACATCCCTTTTTTGACTTCCACTTGTTCAAGGTCCAAGGACTCAAAGATTTAGTAACTGATTGTGTAAGCACACACAGCAAAATACATAGGCATGGTCCGTTACAAATACTGGACAGAAAACGAGTAAAAAAGCAGTCAAAGTTCAAATAAAAACTTGGATTGGAGCTGAAGTTTGTGATGAACCAGACCACTTTCAAAGCTTACAAGAACATTTGGCTCCTAGGAAGCAAAGTAAAAAGATACTTTTGGAGTTACAATTATTCCTGGTTTATTCACAGCTGTTTTATCAATAGACATATTACAGTACTGTAAACTGACTCACTGTCATCTTGCATGTGTTTCATGCTCTGTGTAAAACACAGCAGGAAACAAGACCATGATGAAACTAGACAGTTCTCCCCTCTCTTGTGTGGAACCTGTCTGGCACAGCAGAGATGTCCATATATGACCAGTGCAACATCATCTTAGTGCATCTTCTTATCGAGATACCAACTCTTGCTTCAACTAACGTGACATCATCTGGCAACTTGATGCAACAGCCAATGAAACATTGCAGCCTGGTAGATTACTTTATACTGTGATTAACACACTGTTGTTCTTGAAATCATAATGGCAATATTTACAAAATGTTTAAGTATAGCCATCTTTGTTTAACCAAAAATATTATTTGCCTTACAGCTTCCTGAATCATGTTTCATCGTCTTGACAGGAGCATAAACAACACAGCACCACCAACTCAGCTCTGAATCTTTCTAAACAAGATTAAAAAAAAAACATGTCTACCAATGAAGCTTTGCAGATATTTACATTCCCTGAGATAAATAAGCCATAAAAATGCAGCTATTTTGGGAAGAGCAAAAACCAGAAGTAGATTCATTTAGGTACCTTCCTTCACAGCATTCAACAAAATGTGTGGTATTCAGTTGCAAGATGCCTGCAGGACTTGAAACATTGTTGCAGCATTGCATCATGACAGCCTTGGCTGTTGCTTAAAGAAGTGTTTAAGTCTTTAGAAGTCTTTAGAAGAACCAGACAGCTGCTGGTTACAGCTGGCACAGCATGGCCAACGGATGGGGCTGTTTCAAATACACCAACTAGAACAATGTTCCTTAATTTATATGAATTGACTCATCATACGGGGCCCTCATACAGCTCTTAGTTTAGTCATGTTAACCACAGAGATGTGTGTCAGTGCTTTGTTCCCCTTACTTAACCACCATAACAAACAAAACTAATTTTATTATTATTGTGTTCTATGCTAACAATTAGTATGTTTGGATGTTATCAGGAACACTTCCAAGATAACTTGGAGGGAATGTTAACATTTTCATGTAACAGCTACCAAAATGCTATTTAACTCTGTTTTCTTCATGCTTCTTGTAAAATTAGATGCTACAGAAACTGTCCCTCCTTTTGTACACCACCTGCTCTGCTGGATCTGATTGGTCAGCTCAAGAAAGGGAAACACCTTGTAACTGCCACTTTCCTTCCCTCCATTGACGACGGTGATATGATTTACATGAATGCCCCTACAAGCAACTTGCAGATGTTGGATGTTGTCTATCATGGTGCGCTAAGATTAATAACTGGCTGTAACTATCGTACCCATCACTGCACCCTGTATTCACTGGTTAACTGGACATCATTAACTTCACGTAGACTCACTCACTGGTAAATTTCCATCTTTAAATCTCTTCTTAGTCTGTGGCCTTCATACATCTCCTCCTACATGTCACTGTGTGAGTGCACTCTCAGGACATTATTACATGCAGTGTCCCCTCAGTGAGGACTGAAGTAGGCAAAAGGGCCTTCTCCTACTCCGCTACTGTTTCCTGGAATATCTTGCAAAAAGATCTGAAGCTCTTGATCTTGACCTCTCTAAAAGGCTTCAAACATCTGTTAAGTTCATGGCAAAACCAATGCAACCAATGTTTCTGTTTTTAGTTTTCTACATCGCCTTGCAACCTAGCTGTTTTTTGTAACATTTTTAATAACATTTTAATTTCACTTGTTATTCCCAATTTGTGCGCATCCTTTATGATTTTCTACTGTTGTCCACTGTTGTCATAAGAAATCAGGCCTCTCTTATAAATGAGTCTCTGAGGCTCAATGGCATTAATCTGTATAAATAAAGGTTGAATGAAAAAAAGGTCTTTATTAAATATGTATGCAAACTTGGGATCAGGAAGGATGATTATAAATGCTTGTATTCCTGAAGAAATTAAAAGTTCCTAAATACTATTTTGTTTTCTTTTTTATTGCTGGTCTTGATTCATACCATGCAAGATTGGTTTCATTTGATTTTAAATGAACTTCTAGAGAAAATTAACCCAAAATATGACTTTTTTATTGAGTGTAGCAGCCGCTGTAGTGAAGCTAATATCACCATTATGTGGCAACACCTTTCTCAGCAGTACTCTGTTTTGCTCACTTGTGTTTTCCTAAGAAAACTTTTCATGAGTTTTTAACGCTCATACGATCTGGAACCTGGCACAAATATCAAACAGACTTTTTCTTATCAAAATATGTCAATTTCACAGGTGGGAAAATACACAACTGGGGTTAATTCTTACTATGTAACTCATTTTAAATTGTACACAAAACATTAGTAAACTGGTTCCTCTGTGATCTGTTACATGTCATTTACATCATGCGGTGTGTTAAACATTGCTCACCCTTGAACCTCTCCTTCCAGGAGGACCAGATAAACCAGGGGGGCCAGGAGGTCCCTAAATCAGAGAAACAGAGGAGTAGGGAGATATAGTGAATGTTGTGCAAACAGATCGATAGAGAAAAGGAAGTAAAGAGTGCAAAAACAAGAGAAAAGATGTTGGTAACAAGCAGTAACATGTAGTTCACTGCACAGACCTTTTCAATGATGAGCATGCTCCACAATTATATAAAAAGTTGTACAGATAAAATAAAAGGACAAGTGGTTTCAGCTAAAAGCAGAAGGGTTGTTACATTCTCAAGACGAGGCAGACACCAGCAGACTAAACTGAAACAATGGGATTAACATAATAATGTTCAGGGACTACCACACCTCTGTTAGTGCATTACTGCACACACAAAAGGAAAAACAGGTAAAGAAAATTAATGGATGGGAATTAGTTGTAATGAAAAGTCCAAGAATAAGATGTAAATACTACAAAGATGATCCTTTGATTCAAAAATATAAAATAAAATTTACACATGGAAAAGTATATAACAACTTATACGGTATTTACTTTTGAACAAGCATAAACAAATAAAACGAAAATAATCTTAAATTTTTTGCAAAACTGTTAATTTATTCTTATGAAAGTAAACGAAATCAGATTTTATGACATCTACCCATAAATTCATGTTTATATTCTTTGTTCACTTGTCTCAAACTACAAAACATTTGAGCAAACTTGACCTTAAACGTGCATTTCAGCTTGTTTTAACAAAAGTGAAAAAAGTCCTTCATGTACAAAAAAAATGTTTAAATTTCATGATAAAGTTGAACTAAATTAACACATTTCCCAGATGTTGTTCACAGTATGGAGGTACCAAGTTGTTTCCTAAGGTTGCTTTTTTTGACGTAACACCTACTGCCACAGCCTTCTTAAAATAAAAAGGACTTTGAGCTTTGAAAGGAATATTTGGTGGAAACAATGGTCACAACAGAGCTCAGCTTCATGTCAGAATGTGTGCGTTCCCCTCTACGTTGATCCTTTAGACCAGTGTAAATGAAGAAGTACTGTATAAAGATACCTGGCTAGTGCACTTAGCAGCAGCACACTTCTCTGTACCTGAAGCCTGTGTTTCATTCAAAGTTACTCCTCTCAAGAACTTGAGAGGAGTAACTTTAATTCACCACAAGTGTCAGCTGTGTGAGCATAGTCATTTATATAAAAAAGTAATAATAATAAGTGAACAGACCATGGCCCTGAATCACAAAGCAGCAGCTGAGGTGATAATGCTTTCTCTGCTTGTAAACAATTTGTTGTGCTGAAACTTGTTGTGCTAAATTATTTATCAATGCATGAAAAAAATTACAAAATGTGAGAAGCATGAAATACTGCAGGTTGACCTTGTGTTTGGAACGGTGGCTGGTAGTGGACGAGGTGGACGGGGCCGGGAGAACAGGACAGGGTTGCATGGGTTTAACGTGAGTTAAAGTAAATAGATGGGATTATACACGTGTGTGTTCATATCAGCTCCATCAATGGATAATATGAAGAAACATTGTCCTTCGACCACAAAAACAGCATCTTTGTAAAGACTAATATTGAAAAGACATTTAGATCAGAACAGAATTCTGTTTATTTTTGTTGTAGCAACAAATTACAAGAAGCTATTGTGGTGCTTCCACATCATCTCTCAGAATACCAAATGAGCACTGGGGGGGACATTTATAAAGAAGCAGCTGTTTGTTCTTCTGGACTCCCACACACAGATAAATGGAAAGTGTGAGCACAAACACCATCTCCAAGGCTACAACAGAAACAGTAAAATGACCATGTGCTTTTGTTTAACGTCAGGTTTGATGAACACATTTCAGTTTATGGTGGATTATGTCGCAACAGCATAGGTAAAACTATGACGTAGAAGATCCCCCTTGTAAGGTAAGCATGGCAAATGCAAATTACGATGAGGGTATTCTCAGTTACACTCATTTTCTTCCCAGGAGCGTGGATTTTATATTTATCACAACAACCTGCACCAATATGAGAATAATTTGCTTGGCAATGCTTACTGATTAAAAAAAAAACTTTAAAAAAATTACAAGTTACTTAAAGCGTGATCATGTTGAGCATGCCATTTCTATAATAGCATTGTATCAAAATGTTACTGAATAGTCCAAAATAATCCAAAATCCATAATGCTTGCCATAAACTAATCTTTTGACTGCAGATGTGGCTAAAATGAGTTTTATGTAACCACAAATGAAGATGTTGGCATCCAATTAAGAAGTCCCTGCTCTAAAAGTGGCATCTTGAAACGACCTGGGTTTGGAGCTGACCACATGAACAAAGAAAATCCTTCTAAAGGGTTTTTTTTTAGACAAAGATTTGATTGTTTAGCCCACTAATTGATAAAACTGTGATGCTCTGAGGCTGCAAGAAAAATGAGAACTACATCTGAGTTATTCATAAAGAACCATAAAATCAGGTTTGGACACAGTTCAACACTGATCACCAATCGATGTCAAATTTGATGGTGGATTGAAGAAAACAAACTAACACTAAGATGTGGTAACAAAATGTTTGAATTAATCCTATCAGACTTTGTAAAATATGCTTCAAAGATGTGGAAAGACAATTCAGCCCAAACTTTTCTGTTTATGACAAACTTTTTAATAATGGGTTTGTAGTAACTGACCAATCACATCCATGTTTTAATTAGAGACTTGTGTTTTATTTGTTTGATCATAAAAATGGTCACTTGCCAAACGCAGATGAATATCAAAGTTTATTATATTTAACTTGACCCAACTAAAAGAGATTAACCCATTCACTTCCCAGTCATTCTACGTTGTTCATTTACTGGATTCTAGTCTCGTAGCTCAAATAACACCTTCTCCATGGTCCAACCATTCACTCCCAGTAATACAAAGATAAAAACTAATAAAATAATTAACCGTTTAGAGTGAGATATTATTTTCTGCAGCCATACAGATCAGGCATTACTATTATTAATATATATAAATTATGAATATAACACCATGTGTGGATAGTTCTGATTTTAATGAAAATTATCTATATAACCACGTTTGTCTACCAGAGTAAAAAAGTTAAGTGAAACTAACACAAATGCTAACACTGAAACATTATTTTTACTGTTTTACATAAGGTTGAACACTATTGGTTTATTTATTCATAAGTTAGGTCATCTTGTTAGACTCGTGTTGACTACAGTGGACAGAGTATCAACCATATAAGTTTATGTAGTTCTTGGTTAGAAAGCCTAAAGACTTTTTTGCAATGAACATATCCTCCAATGGCTTGATTCAGACACACAACAATAGCAAATTTGTTACACTGATATAATTTGTTTAAATGATGTGTGTTGCTGTAAAAGTACTTTGGTACCATATCTTACTTGAAGCTCTGTCCAGTATCATGACATTGCAGAAGCTTTGTAGCTTTGGTCATCAGTATGTTCCAATGAACACATGATAAAAAATAAAAAAAAGTTTAAAAATCTTTGTCTAGATAATAGTAATTTTAGTTTATTACTTGTACAAAATAAGCAGAATTTAGCTTTTATTTTCCTAAAACTTTAAAAAAAGTTATTGTTGTGGAGTTTAATATACGTTCAATATACTCCCCTATAGCAGACATACACTAAACAAGCTGTGATATAGTGACATCATTGTTTGCCCAAAACATATAGTTGTAATGTAACGATTAAAATCCAAACTTTATTAATATTCACTTGGGAGAACATTTTGAAAGCTCGATTTTAATAAACAAAAATGTTATGCATGAAGATGATGGATGCAAATCCAGCAGAGAAAGTTCCCTTTTTTAAACATCTGCATTTTTGTGTAATTTTGTGAACTTCCCTACTTACTTTCAATAAAACGTTTTAAACCCAAATCAGATAAACCTATACCCAAGTTTTGCGGTAGCCTGTGTGTGTCACATTTCTGGTATCACGTGTGAAATTCTTCCCTTGTGGGAGTATTTTAGCATGTTTTGGAGTTTAAACCCAGAGCTGATGACCCCGAGTCAATGGCTGACCTTCAGCTGACCCAACATTCATAAATCATGCCTGCATCCAAACTGCTGCAGTAGCAGATACATACAAGATATGCACAAGAAAACATACAAACATAAGTGATGAGTAGTATCACGTAGTTTTGCCCAAACTTAATCAGCTTGAAAAGACAAACAAAAATAAGACTGTGTTATGCTCAAAGTATTGGAGTTAGGTCTAATGTGGCTCAAAGAATGGGACAAAAATGTGGAGCACTTCTGTGTTGGGTAAACTGTGTCTCTTCCACAATCCCTTCGGAAATTTATATCTGATGGAGCACTGTATAAAGTAAAAACTGGCATCCGAATTTAAATTAAAACAGATCAGGTGAAAACATAGGACAAACCTCAGTTCTGAAAATCCAAAGCATTCTTTGGAAACTCTAAAGGCATGTCTGGATGGCTGGGTTTTCTTGACAGCAAGCTTGTGTTAAAATGCCAGAGGCTAAATCTCTAACTTTTATAAAAGTTATCCTCTTTAAAATAAGAGAAAAATAAGAACTAGGAGTAGTACTTCAGCTTTGGAACTTTAGCTTACCTATTCTGTTCATGGAAGAAAAAAAAGCACAGACCTTTAAACTACTACAACTAAAATACATAAGCATCAATCATTTATTCTTGACATTCCATTTAGAAAGGTATTTTGTTAGTTAACTTGCTGTGATCTCCTTGAATTTTCTTTTGATGGTGTGAAACAGCAGATTGTAACCACGCACATATTCAGTCACTTACCGGAAAACCTGGCTCTCCTTTGGGCCCATAAAATCCATCTTCATAGTCATAAAGAAATTCTGGCTCCTCATATCCATAATCATATCCTCCAAGGTCTGAGTCCTCATAGCTGCCATCAGAGTTGTGTTGTTCTGAAGTGTCAACCTGATTTTCCCTGTACAAAGTGGTGCGGTTGGCTCGTTGATGAGACTCCAGAATGTGATGCATGTGTTTAGTCCCAAGGTCTGAGCCCCCAAAGTTGTTCCTGAGTCCGTCCTTCACTTGATTTTTCCTGACTGGAGATATTAGACTTGGGAAGATCTGTGGAGTCTGCTGGCTACTGGAGCTGCTGTCTTCCTCTGTGTTCTCAGACTGATCTATGTTGCCTTGAGGCAGATGGCCTTGGTCAGTTGCTAATACATTTTTGTTTGTTGTGATATATATGCTATGGACAAGATCAAGCATTGCTTGCCTTCTTGGAGGCACTTGTGTAGGATCATGGGGTTTAAGTGAGAAGGGCTTCAGTGTGGAAATGTGTCTTGGTTCCCTCAGATGTAGCTGTGTTCTTGGGCTCAGGGTTGAATACTGTGTGAGAAGATGGCTTCTCTGTGATAATTCTCTGTCAACTTTGGTAGAAGGATGATGGGTGGTTGGTACTCCAAGAGAGGACTTTGGTGAGGGGTTCACAGGGTGGTCATTTGCCTTAATATCCAAACGTGAATGTGGCAAAGGCAATCGATAAGTGTCGGCCAGCCGGCACTGTTTTTTAAGGTAGTTGCAGTAGTGTGCAGCAGCTTGGGCGGAAGGATAGATATCCAGTTGGCAGAGTTGACCACTGAATGGAGGTGCCTTTGAGTTCATCCTGCCCAAAGTAAAGACACTCCCAGATTCTCCCAGAGTCTGAGATCTTCCCAGGGTTTGCTCTCGTTGCTGCACCGCTCCACAATTTGCATAAAAGGACACTGAACGTGCACGAACGCCAACAGCAAAAGCATGCTGCCTCCCATCCTGCCAGTTGTAGGTGAAGTAGACAGAGGATTGCTCTGCAGTATAAACCACCAGTCTGCGTGGTAACAGCTGAATGCCAAAACGCAGTCTGTCCCTGCCATCTTTAACACCTAAAAGAAAAGCATTGCTTACTCCCCAGGAGCTTAAGCTAATCACAAAAGAAAATTCATCTCCAAACTCTGTATGGAACAGGCTGCTTGCTGGAATCTCATAAATGGAGTTTGTGTCTAATATCACCCCATGTCCAGAAAATGGAACATTCAGAAATGGGGGAACGTTGGTGTAAGTGGTTTGAGGTGAGGCTGTCCTGTCGTTGGGATTGTCTGTGCTGCTTTGATCTGTGAACCCCAGTCGATGGAGGATATCCACACCTGTTGGCAAAGGAGACAATGGTAAGTTTATTATGCCAAAACTAAATTACATCAAAATAAAGTGATTCTGAACTTATTCTAAACATCTCACTTTCAATAAAATTCACATTTATCTACACAATTTTGTAAATGGGTTTTATCAGTGTATCTCAGACAGAAACTACTGCTTTGCTGAACTTTAAAAATGTGTTGTCCTACTTCTGTTGAAACACAAGCCTTGATTAGATTGGATACCATATCAATCTATTTTCTAAATCTCTTTGATCTTGTTCAGTGTTAGAAAAAACCCGGTGCCTATTTCAGGAGTGAAGCAGATGCAGGTCTCCATTCAATCACAGGGTCACACAGAGATAAACATTCACATATAAACACACATGTCTAGAACCAATATGGAGTCAAAAACACATCCCCAAACATGCAAACCAAAGAAAGGCCCTGTTGTGTTTCACGCCTTTTCAAATCAAGTTTATTTAAGTTTGTTTAACAGCAGGGCATCATACATCCAAGTTCCATGATACAGAGGACACCACCACGATTTAACAGCAAGAAAACAATTTTTAATATAAAATATACTGTAAGAATAAAAGTATGCCTTGTAGGGGCTTGTGTTAGGACATGTTACATCTGGACTACCTTTTAAAAGATATGACTGTAGGGATAAAATGTTTTTATATGGGTCTCTTAACAGGAGGAAACCTTCATCTGGAGCCAGGGGACAGAAACTGAAAATCAGATCTATTCAGAGGATGCCTTATTCTCTACCTGTCTACCTGACTGCTGGGTATGGGCACCAGTGACTCCCATGGCCCAAAAAAGGTAGAAGCAGGTAAAGATAATGAATGGTTGGATTGACGCTAGGGTAAGGTGCCCATGCCAACAGGTTATAAAAATGCGAGGGCAGATTCTGCTAGATTTGTTAAAAATGGGACGCATCCACATAAAAGGATGAGAGTCTATACAACTAGAACACTTACGCTGCAAAGCATCAGTGCTAACCAACTGTGCCACTGTGCAGCCCTGGGTACTCTCTACTGTCAAACCAGAATGCATTACAATCATGAAGAAACATAAGCAGAAGCAATGTATAGCTGTATAAATTATGGGGAATGTTAAATCTTATTTTAGTTTTAGCTTAAAGACTAAATCCACAACCACAGATTTACAAAACTACGGTAATTGAAAACGGTTGTATTTGATAGAAGATTTTAGAAAAATAGTGCATGCTTATATTCAAATTTCATCTCCAAGGACAGATCTAAAGAAATGCAATTTGAACAGTTTTCCACAGACTCTGGTGAGTTAAATCTGTTTTGTTCTGTGAAGTAACAGATAGACAGCTGCGTCTAGATGATTATGGAGACTTTATAGGCACACAACGAAACCAGGATTCAGAAAACCAGCCAATAAAGTTTGCTGAAAGGGGGGCTGTGCATCATAATTTGGTCATGATGCATGATAGTTCCAGAAAGAAGCAATATAAAACATCACAACATATGTATGTGTTATTTTTTTCATGTGTGGGTGCCAGGTATGGGCACTTGTTGCACATAAGAGAACTCAAACCATCCTGAAATGTGTTTCTCTGTCTGTTCATTCCAAACAATTGTGCCTCAAAAACCATGGAGCCAACTGTCCACTGAAAAAGAGGGGTAAGACACACTATAATAATGGAACTGAAGGTGCAAAATTTACTGTATCTTTTAGAAAAAAGTAGGAAGATGGCCTCTTTAGTGCAGTGAGACTCTGCAGCTGATGATTACAATAACCAATACATCATCAGATCCCTCTTTTGAATAAGTCTATAGGAGGTGCAGGATCAGAGACAATGACTTAAACAAACCGAACTGATTACGAGAGCTGGCCCCGTTTGGGATTACATTAATTTATGGTCCATCATCCTCTCACACATGAGGCAGTTGTGATGTAAATTTTATCATTTGCACCAGTCTCTGAAATGGTATATTCTTTCTTCCTGCAATAATTTGAGAATTCTGTGACAGCAAAGGCTGGGTGCACCAACAACGCATGTAACCCAATAAAACTCTCATTGAAAAGATGGGTAACAGACTGTACCAGATACTGTATTTTTCGCTGTATAAGTCACAGGTTTTGCATAAATTGGCATGCCTGCAACTTATACAGCGAAGCAACGTATTTATGTTTTTTTTTAATCCCATATTTATAACATAAATTTAGTCTGAGATCTGACAATTTCATTCATTCTGACATGGAAAATATTGAACACTAGCATTTTCAGCTAATAGAGGTCCCTCAACTATATGGCAAGTCAAGTGTCTCATTAATAGGTAAAAGTGGCTATTAATGAGACACTTGGCTTGCCATACCAAGCCACCTTTGTCTCGCTCTGAACATCCTGGAGCAAATTAGCTGCATTTCGCTGCGCTGCCCAAACAAAACGCAGCTCATTTGACCGTTAAAGTACATTTATTAAAGAAAAGTGAAACTGAGACACACATTTGCTATAATTTCAAGCACACAAATAATTGTTTTTAAGTGGTAATCTTGTTAAATTCTTGTTAAAGTCCTGTGCACGTTCTCGCAGCTGCCATTTGGCAGCCAATCGATTTTTAGCACATCGGCCCACGTTTCCGGGTTGTCAGCGGTGACACGTAACAATTGTGACATGTCAGTGGTAACACATAATAGATGTGGCTTATACGGTGAAGCGACGTTTACGGCGGCAAGTACGGTACTCAAAATGCATTACAATACAATCTGTGCCCTCACTACCATCCACGCACAGTCATGCATCACTCTACTACAACGCTTCAAAGCTAATCTGAATAATTCGATAGAGACTTATCAGTGATATTAGATAACATTCATACATTGATCGGGTGTACAGCAGAAGTACTGAGGGATTCAATGTCTTGCCTAGGAACACTAACACGTGACTGCATACTGGTGGAATCAAACCTACAACTCTCCTTGGAGGACAACTGCTCTAACCACTCAGGCAAAACTGCCACAAAAGGTCCTAAAGACACAACACAAGACAAAATGAGGAGCACAAGAATGTCCATAAGCAGAAAAAAAGAATTAAAGGAAAACTTGGTTTGCGGAAATAGTGTGTAAGTGGATTTGCTGTTATTCACTTTTGTACAAAGAAGGACAACAAAGATAAAACAAATCTGCAGAAGATTTCTTATGAGAAATCATTTAAAGTTCCTGACTTTCAAAAAGACCGCTGGCAAAAAATGTTTTGCTACTAACTGAATTCGAGTGTGACTCTGCAAACTCAAAGACTAACCCTAACCCTAAAATAGTCTAAATGTGATGATAGTCATGTCAACAAAGTCTTAAAAGGTTCCACTGAGGCAGAAATAATGTGTGAGCCATGAACGTAACTGAAGAAAGCTGAAGGGTACATCAGGTGCTTAACATATTAAATACATCTTTCCAAAAAACATATTTAAAAAGTGTCTTTACTTCAGTTATAAGCCTCAACATTAACTAATTCATCTGAATGTTTCCACCTAAAATGCATGATTTTTCTGTCATCGCCCTATTTTTGATATCAGTGATTTTGGAGTTTTTTGAAGACCATCCAAATATTGTATGGCACTTGCCATTTCAGCTACAGCTGCTGGCCTACTATTTAGTGGCATTCTTTCCATAAGTTTACCTAAACCTTTATTTTGTTCTTGTTTCTTTCTGATAAACACATTTTTAATACAGTTTAGAACTTAGGTAGAAAGTGAATCTTCAGTCTGACGAAGAACAAAGATCGTTATGTGATTTCAAGGGACTTTTTTCCTTCAGCATGAACTGGAAACCATTCCAGCTGATCTAAACACTGAGACGTCTCTGACATGTTTAACCTAATATTACATTAGTCCAAATTCTATTTAAACTGTCTCATACGTAAAGACAAACATATTCCTCACTCTATCTTATTAATGGATTAATTTGTCTTGCATTTGTCTACTTTTTTTATTTTTAGGAATGTGTGGTAATAATAGTAAAATAATGATAATAATAATACTTTATTTATAAAGCCCTTTAAAACAACCACAGCTGCCACAAAGTGCTGTACATATAAAATCACAAGTCAGACAAAGGTGAAGCACCCCTCCCCTATTGCACATAAGTAACGACAATTCATTCAGATATCCACGAGTTAAAATAACAAATTTATGCATATATGATTTTATTGAAAAAACAAGGGAGCTCAACCTGTAGCCATGTTTCCAGGCATCTGTCAGATAAATTGGAAACTTTTATAATGGTTTTGAGCAATGTGACTAATAAAATCAGACGAGGTGAATGAAACAGCTTTGGATAAATTAAGCGCACTTGTTTTGAAGTTTTCTACCGTTTACCTTGAGCTCGGTAGTCTTCTTCTCCAGAGGGCACTGCTGAGCATACTGACAGGAGCAGGAGAAAGTTCCACCTGAGGGCAAAGAAATCACAAGTTAATACCAGTTCAGCCATTTCAAATTGCTATTTTTTAAAATATTAAAACAAAAAAACAAAAACAATAGTGTATCAGTAATTGTATGTGATAATTTTAAAAAATATTTTTGTTGCTTTCAGAGATGTGTCTTGAAAATTAGTTTTACTTTTAGTCTCCAAAAATATTCATCTGCTTAGTACTTTTGACAATGAGGTTACAAGGTCACCAAAACCGTATGTGAGTATAACAGAGTCCAAAGTACCGAGGAGACAAACAAATCTCAATGATGATGTCAAAATAATTCAAAAGGAAAAAAAAAACATTGTACTTATTTGATCATAAAATGGATAGAAAATGCATATACTCCTGCCACCCGCTTCACATGTTATCAGCCCATTAAATAACCGTTATTAGTTATGATCATCCCTATAGGTTGCCTTCAGAATGTCCCACCTCCCAACAGGCTCAGTAGGTTGTTATCACAGAATTATAAGGTTAGGGTTTGGGTTACAGTTAGGGTTAGGTCATATCCTCTTTTAAGTGAGATATTTTAGATACCAAATTAAAGCCTTATGACTGTTAAATCTGGAATTCATTTGAAGTAAATCCTTGATATCCAGCTTAAAAGTAATAAGTAAATTGTAAATCAAGGTTTTAAATAAAGCTAACATTAAAAAGCTTCCGGTTTTAGATGCAGCCGAAGCTGCATATTATCAGTGATAGCGGCCTAAGCTGCATATTATAATCGGTAGTGGGCAAAGCTGCATATTATTAGCGATAACAACATACCTTTAAACCTACTAGGTGGTACAGGAGGGACAGTCTGAGTGCAACCTATGGGGACGATAACAACTAATAACAGCCATTTAATGTGCTGATAGCATTCAAAGCAGCTGATCCTGTCCATTATGTATACATTGATAAAAACTATTATTTATTTAGTACTACAAGTGTGGGAGCAGTCAGAAACAGCTGCTTCCATCAAGGAGCATTATAAGAGAGAACAGACGAGCAAACCCTTCACCTAAAAAACAGCTGTAAAAAAGCAGGTTTCTTGTTTTGTCTTTTCCACAGGTGAGCTATAGTAGACTATCCATTCATTCAACTTTTTTCTTTACCCACATTTTCCTTTCCTGGTCATTGGGGAGCTGCTTCCTATCTCCAGCAGTCAAAATGCCAGAGGTGAGGGACACCTTGAACAGGTCTCCAGTCCATCACAGGGACACATGGATGTAAATGAGACAAAAACATTCACTCCCTCACTCCAGCAACAACTTAAACTGCCAATTAGCCTAACATGCATGTTTTTGATCTGTGGCAGAAAACTGGAGTACCAAGAGAAAACCAACGTGTGCACACAGAGAACATGTGCACTCTGCATTGAATGCCCAGGAATCAAAACTGTGACCTTCTTGCTGTGATGTGACTGTGCTGTCACCCAACAGTGGACTAAACTTAAGCAGGGGGTCATACTGAGTTACAAAAGGGGTCCAAAATCAAAAACTTTGTCCAAGCCACGGTCCAATTTCAGTCAATACATTAACTCGTCAGATACGTAACATCTTTTACTGCTTGAAGGTTCCTCAGCAAGAGTTTGATCGGTCTCAGTTGTCATTCTATGTTGCTTTTTCCACACAATATTTCCATCTCCATAAAATATTAATGAAAAATCCAGCCTTTTGTTCTTAAAAAAAAAGTTTCAAAGTTGGCCAGTTGGCATAAGTCTGCAATGAGTTAAGTTTTTATATGTTGTTCAAGCAAAATGACAAAAGATAAAAGTATTTTACATTTAAAATATCATCTTGGGAGACCATATAAAATGTTAACATGAGCCAGATTTGGTCAGTGGGCATTGAGTTTGACATGTGATCTAAAGAAAATATAAGTCTTTACCCAATCCTTTCTTGATTATATAAAGAAAACATGTATCAGTGTTTCAGCTGTTGAGAATAATTGATGATGGAAGCATAAAGTTTACATGAGACACTTTATACTGGTGAAATAATCTTGTCACTTGGTTTAAAACCATGGTCTATATATAAAAGACTGTGGTTTTATGGTACAAGTATTATATATTTTTAATGACCTTGTAGAAAATTTTGCATTAAGATCATATGCATCAACTTAATTTCTGCTTGCTGCTCTTTCTGTGTTGTATCAATGACCCTTCAACTCAAACATTTTCTGTCACACAAGCAAGCAAGAGCAACATCTGTCAAAGAAAATTTATGAAACTTAAACAAATAACCATAGTTAGTGCTGTTAAAGCATAAAACATGGAATCCATTACTAATAATTAACAATAATAATCTAATAACATGTAGCATAAGCACCCCCCAAAAATCTGTTCAACTTGAGTTGACTCACGATGCATTCAAATGCAATTAACTATTCATAAAAAAATCTGTAAACATCACCTTCAAATGAAATAAAGAACCAAATGACTCAAAATAAACAGATTTCACAAAATGTGTACATAATTTTTGTGTTGAACCTGTGGCAAGAGTTATTATTGGCATTGTCAACAAGTAATTTAAATAAATCTGTACATTAAAAAAAGCTAATACATTTATTTTATTGACAAGATAAATTATCCCTACTTTACTCGCACTAAGAAGATACAGTATCTGGACAGCACACTGAAAGTAAAATGTCTCAACAAGAAGAAATATTTAAATATAATTTTAATTTATTATAAAAGATTCCAGTAATGGACATCTTATTTGAACTTTTATATTTGTGGCATTTATGTGTTTGTGTTATTTGAGATTTTCTAAAATAATTATGTAAAGATAAGCTCATTACACTAATTCATCAATTGCCCACATCATATGATAGAAATATTATGTTTTGTTATTTTATCAAAGAAGGTGAATGCGAGTGTAAATTGTTTTGTTGGTAATTTAATAAACCTAATTTCATGGAAGGTCAGACACATTTAAAACAGAAAACAAAATAACTGAAAGTTTAGTCAAAGCATAATCACATTCTCAAACGTTGGGAGTTTTATTGGCCTTTTTTTCTGATTTTAATTTATTACAGTTTATACTTCTCAGGTTTTAATTGACAGAGCTACTACACACCATGACATCACTTTGAATTATTTTGTTATTTGGCTTAGCTAAATAAGTAGTTTGTAAATTACTCTCTAAACTCACAAATTATTAAAGAAAAGTCAATAAATCTCTGGACTGCCAGACTCCATAATGAGAAGAAAAAAGTGTTAAAATGTAAAAAATGAAGGTGTGTAAATATAACCTTCTGTGAAGTCATTTATCTTTGACATTTTCATGTCTGAAAATATGATGAAATGTCATGAAGAGAGCATTACTCTGTCATGTTTTATGATGGATGTTTCTTTTTGTAAATGCATAGATCCTTAATAACACTTTAATACTGATAATGGAAGCACACCTGAGCAAAATTATTTCAACAAAGAAAAACACATTTAATTAGGAAAAAGAAGAGTTGAACTTGCTTCCTACAATTACATTTGTCAAGTTTTAAAAGGTGCTGCTTCCTGGAACTTCATTCTCTAATTCTCTCCATGAACTTATCAGACTAGCTTTGTTAGATAAAATTCAACATAAATAAAGTATTAATGGAAAACTCTGCACAGGATCTGCCCTGTGATGGAAAGGAGACCTGTCCAGGGTGTCCATCGCCACTCGCACAGTGATTGCTGGACATGGGCACCAGAAACCCAAAAAGGAACAAGCGGGTAAAAGATAATGAATGTTTGGATGGATGCTTGGATGGATGGATGGATGGATGGATGGATGGATGGATGGATGGATG